TGTCGCAGAAAAGCTTCATCCATTAGTAGCCCGGGCGGAATCTGCTCAGGGCATTTGGGCCTACGTCTCAGCCCGCAACGTCTGCCACGTCGACGTAGTTCTCTTCCTTGCGCTCGAGCAAGATCTTCAGGTCAGGCTTCTCGTGTCTGTATTTCCTTTCTGGGACCTGCAAAGTGAACTCCGCAAGGCCAAGTGTCAGAACTCATACCAGATCTTTCCCAAGCTATGCTACCCACACACAGCTGCTTGAGGGTTCTATGTGACAGCGCCCACTTCGAATCTATGGCTCGGACTCAATTTTACGCACACTGCAAAGTCAGTAGCTTAAGGATCAAGAGGGCCCTCTGTGGGCCGAAAAGAAAGACCGCGGGTGATATGGCCAGGGAGGAAGCCTCCACTGATTTCACAGCTCCCAAAACTCTTTCTGGCCATTCACCGATGTTTCACGGTCCCGGCATCTCGGCGCTCAGCCCGCTCTTCAAGCCTTTCGGTTTCGGCAACTAACTGGTATGTCCCTTTTTCTAAGAGCTTCTTTAGGGCCTCAGCGTTGCCTTGAATCTTTGTGAGGGCATCTACAATCATGGCTTGATGCTCAACCCAGCGGACTTCGGCGCCTACGCCATCCATTCTCTCACGAGCTATCGCCAAGTCCAGCGCGGTGTACTTGTCTTGGGCCAGCGAACCCTCCTTTCGGAGGTTGTCGTAGAGCGACTTCGCATCCACAACTGTCAGCGAATCTTTGAGCGTGTGATCTGCCTTGGCACTCTGCAGCACCAAATCGGCCTGGGCTTTGGCGTTCTCTTTGAAAACTTCGAGGCTGAACTTCTCCTGGATCAAGTCATTCCAGATTGCTTTCGCCCACAGAAGATCTCCTAAACCTTTGTTGAGCGATTGAGTCTCGGCGGCCAAGGTTGAGTTCACTTTTCTTCTCAGCTTTCCGCTCTTCCACCAGACCAGCGAGCAGGTAGCTTCGTGCCCCTGCAACATGTCCTTGTGGAATGCTATGACTCCCAAGGCCCCCTGGGTGGAGCCGTCGCTGTAGTTGGTGAAGCTTGCATCCGTGACCACGCCCCATCTCAGGTCCTCACACTCTATTGGGAAGTAGCGCAAGGTGAGGTCTGGCCAAGCGCGCACCTTATTGATGCACTGGTTCAGCTCGAGAATGTCCTTGATCTTGAGCGTGCTCGACTTGGATGCCATTATGCTGGCTCCAGCGGCGGCATCTGGACGACACTCCTTGGCGGCCCACGCTAAAGATCCTACGGCACCTCTGAACTTGTTCTTCTCTTCCTCTGTCGCGTCCGCCTCGGGGTGAGCTCTGCGTCCCTTTTCCAGACTCACTGGCGCCATTCTTTCGGACACGAACTTGCCCATGTCTATGCAGACGGTGTAGTCGCTCAGTTGTCTGATGCGTCGCCCGTTGAATGTCGTGCCATCCAAGAGCTGCATCAACTGCTTGAATTTTCCGAATTTAAAGCGCTCGCGCAGTTTTGCCAGCTGAACTTCATGATCTCGGTTGCCAAAGCACAGCAAGTCATCGATCTCTATCACTATGATCCCTTCAACGGTGCCCTCTAAGTATTTAACGAAGATGGTTGGGTCTAGCCTGCTTTGCTTGTAGTTCAAGTCCTTCACGATGTAGCTCTTCAGCGTCTGGCGCCAATGTATGGGACCATCCATGAGCCCGTAAACGCCGGCCACCACTTCGATGATCTGTTCTGGGTCCATGTTCGGTAGACCCCCTTTTGGCTGCCTCACGTAGAGCTTGCCGCCTGGTCTCAAGAGAGGGTCCGACTGGGTGAAGGCTGCTTTCAGGTCCCCGCAGGACCCCCTCAGCTTCATACTTGCGGCCAGCTGCAAAACCACTTGCAAGTTCTGTGTCGTGACCGTCGGGCTGTATCTTTCCAAGTCCAGAGCATCGGGATCCATGTCACCTCGCACGCAAAAGCGAGACTTCTTTGACGGTGTCTCGCCAATCTGTTCCCCGGGCTTCAGCCTTCGGACCATTCTTGACCCGATCACCCGGTTCAGCTTGCCCTGCGACTCCAGCTCCTTGAGGACTCTTCTCGACTCCTCCACCGACAGCACCTTCATCGCGCCGGAACTTTCTATTTTGCTCCACTCTTCAGCGTCTTGTAGTCGCCAGGCTGGCCACTCCTCTTCGGGAATGTCGGCCTCGCTTACCTCATCCGTCGCCACCTTTTTCATGACGAAGGTCTCGGCATTGAGGACCATGAACGTATACGCTTCGGTCGTCTCCACGTCAAAGTTGGGGACCTCTTTCGACGTTACATGCTTCAGGTTCCTTAAGGCCTTCTTGGTGACATAGAAGTCGGTGAAGCCTTTCCATTTGGCCTTCAGATCTCGCTGGGGTTTCAAACTCTTCCAATCGTCCTCCACTTCTTGCACGCTTCCATCTTTCATCTTCGCCATCGTCTTCCTCTCTCCTGTGAGATCTTCCAGCTTGACTGGCAGCCTCGTCGTCTCCCAGGGTGTGCACATCGCGCTGCGCCAGCGAACGTGATGCCTTCTCAGGACGCCCAGGGCCGGCTTTAGCTCCCAGGTGTCACGCTGCACTTCGCTTTGTCGCCGAGGTGGAACTGGCGTCGGTCCTTCTTCGAACTCATCCTGGCCAACGGGCGAGTATGGGTTGCCCGGCTCCTGCTGCCTTCTCGGGGGAGGTCGCACCGGCTCGTACCCGGCGCTGCTCTCCGCCTCTGCTAGCCTGCTTGGCGCTCTTGGGGGAACACCGTCCAATCTCTGGCTCTGCACCGCGGAGTCCACAGCTGCGCGTAGTCGTTCTTCTCGACCGGGAGCTTCAGGAACGGGGAGTTCGGGAACCTCTATCTCTGCCTCGGGCTCCGGCGCTGATGCTTGCCTTGCTGGCTCTGCTGGGACTTCTGGCACTGGAGTTTCTGGCAGTTGCGCTGGATCGGGAAGTTCTTCTGGCGGAATAGGTATAGGCACCACGGGCGTCTCCGGCTCGTCAATCCTCACTCGGGGTAGCCCTCGATGTAGGCCTTCTGCGCTCACTTCATCTTCGCCAGCTTCGCGAACTATGGCTCCTCGGGAAACTCCTGGTGGAAGTGGGTCGCCCGTGTGGTCCTCGATTAAACGACTGCTCGACTTCTTGAAGCGCTCCTTTAGGTCTTGGAACACTTCATGCACAGCTTCCACTCCGCGAACCTCCTCCGACGTGGCCTCCCGCACGTGCTCGTTGCAGACCTTCCAAAGTCTGCCCAACACATTGACGTAGCAGTTCGCTCCCTCAGGCATCAAAACGACGCCTGGCCCGACCCAGTTAGGCTTAAGCACACCTTTATCCTTCCACGACCGCCAAATGTAGACGATCTCTCCCGGCTGAAAGGTTCGGTGCACGCGATTCCTGGCTCGGAGAGCGTGCTTAGCCGCTTCGGACAGGTTGGTCTCCACGAACGCCTTCTGGGCAGCCCTGCGCGCTGCCAACACTCTTTCCACCTCCTCACCGTGGTTCACCAGCGCGGGGTCAATGGCATCGTCCGACATGAGCTCCCCATTGGTCCGCGCTGTCTGCCCCAGCATCCTTTGAGCTGGAGAAAAGCCGGAGCGATTGAAGAGGCGATTTTTGGCTGCTTCCACCTCACGTGTCAGCAACCTGAGGTCATCCTCTGAGCACGGAGGATTCTGCCACTTCGCCTTTTCCATCATCTGCTTGAAGAGGCCGCCATGCCTTTCACAGCGCCCGTTCTGGTGTGGCGCCCTGGCCCCAATAACGTGCAGAAGCACGCCTAGTTCCGCGCATCGGTCTCGAAATTCGCCCAAGAACTCTCGCCCTTGGTCCAGAAGGAGGATCTGTGGCATTCCTAAGAAGCGCCCCCACGTTCTGGTAAAGGCCGCCCACACACTCACGGGCTCTTTGCTTCGTAGCTTTTCCACCATCTGGAAGGAGGTGCCCAGGCAAATCATGTTCAAGTACCAGTTCTGTCCGGAAGCATCCCAATTCGGCATCTGCAAGAGGTCGATCGCGACCACGGTGTTGGGCGCGTACGACCTGGGCACCATCGCCGGCCTATGCGCCTTCGGAGTTCTACTGGCAGCGCAGGTAGGACATCTGAAGCTGTCCTTCGCCCAACGCCATATCCTGTCTGGTGTTCGGCTCACCTTCAGAGTTCGCACCAGATCCGCCAAGCTGGGGTGTCCCAAGTTTCGATGCAGCTTCATCACTGCCTCCTTTTCTTGTCTTGTAGGCTCACCCACCGGGACGACCGAGTCTTCAGGACGTTCGTCCACTGTGTCCATCGGGCGAAGGTCGAGCTCGTCGAAGATGTCCTGCTCTGCGACCTCTCCGGGGAAGCACTCGAGGTTATAGTCCATGATTGCCCCCTCCGCTCGGGGCGGCTTGCCCTTCGCCATGGCATACTTGACTGCGTCCTTGAAGTTTGTGATCTGGTACTTCTTGCGGTATAGCAGGTAGGACGCGGTGCCTTCTGAAGTGGCCTCCTTCAGGTTCTTCAAGCCTGATGACAGCGGCCCCAAGGCACTGATTACGAAGCCACGGCCCTTCCTCCACTGATGTCTCGCGATGCGACAAGCCAGCGACGACTGCTCCGACGCCACCTTGTTCATGTATATTACTTTGGGACCTTGGCTCTCGATGTCCTTCCACACCGCATTCTGGTTGACGCCCTTTAGGTCTATGGTCATGGCGTCAACCCCGGCACTAGCCCCCACGAGGTAGTCCAGGATCTGATCAGACTTCGCCTTGTCGATCTTGGTCTCGTCGCTCTGGTGCTCCAAGTACAGCTCGGGCTCTTTGACCACCACATAGACCTCCTCGTCTTCCAGGCTGTGCAGGCCCTCCACGTCCTGCCGGTCCATTCGCTGCAGGACACCATTCTTGGAGACCACCACAAAGTCGTCCAGGAAGGGAAGAGGCTTGGCCATCCAACGACGCACCATGTTAGGCGTAGCACTTTGCAACACTCGCGTTCCATCCCACGATCTGATGTTCTGGCCTACGTTCACATTCCTGCCAGCTGCTGCGCCACTTGGGTTCGTTGGGTCATCATGCGCGCGTAGAACTGGTTCACCATGTCCGCCGCTTGCTTCATCGTGGCCACGGCTTGCTCCCAGTCGCTCTTGGTTTCTCGCAAGGGCAGCGTGTTCGCTCGATGTCGGGTCTCCTGCTCGTAGCGCTGAACTCTCTTGAACTCGGAGACCATTGCCTGCACCTGGTTCGCGGTAGTCGGGTCCATCTCGGACAGGTGAGCCTCCATTGCGGTCACGTTCTCCACCGCCCTCTCGAACTCCAGGTACTCGCCCTCGCGCAAGTCCAGCGTAGTCTGCAGCTCGTCGCTCCTGGCGCGCTCGTCCGCCAGCTGCTGCATCAGGTTTCCCATCTCCACCTGGTGCTTCTGGGCCATTCGCTTCTCTTGTTGTTTCAGAGCGTTCTCCGCCAGGTTGAGGGTCTTCTCCTTCGACTGGTTCACGGTCTCCACTGGTCGGCTGAGTTTCCATCGAGCCTTGCACAGGTTGCAGTGGAACCAGTTCATGTGTCCATTGCCTCCTCCTTTGAGCTGCTGAGCTGGGTGAGCACAGCGGCCAATCTCTTGAGTCGGCACGCCTTTCACCGAAGCCAACTGTTCGGGCCTCTCGCCTTCCAGGTAGTTCTTGTAGATCTGGCCCCTGCTGGTAGCCGAACTTGTAGTCAAGGTCGCTGGCGAAGTGGTATCCGTAGGGCTGGGCTGCTGCTGCGACTCTGGCCCGGGAAGAGAGAGCCACGGTGACACCACGGTTTGCCAGTATCCCCAGGCCAGCAGCGAGCAGAGTTTGTCCAACAAAACCCGCCAGTTTCGGACGGCGAGCCTTGGCCGGCTGACGGGATTCCGCACTAGCTGCCATGGATTCCGCTGCCGCCCCTGCTGCTGCTGCAGGGCTCGCGAAGCTAGCATAGGCCTCGGACTTAAGAGTCTTGGGCGATCTTGTAGTCTTTGGTCTCGAGCCAAAAACCTGCCCAGTGCGAAAGTCGGACTCCATACGACGCCCTGCACACGCGGAAGGCATCACCCAACCTTCAGGACCAAAGTCAAGCACATCCACAGCTGCGTGCCCTGAGGGAAGAGTCGTCATGTTGCACTCTCCGTTCACTTTGCTGAAGGTGATCTTGTCTTTGCTTAGGTCAATGACTGAACCCAAGGCCCTCAAGAGACTAACCGGCAACAGCAACGGCACGTCTTCGGCTACGACTGTCAGCTCAAGCACTCCTGGAACTCCACCGAGGCCGATGGGAACTTCGCACACGCCGACTGTTTTTGCTGCGCCTCCAATGCCGCGTGCCTGGGTGGCCTTGTCCGTCCAGCAGCCTTTTAGGCCTAGGGGCCTCAAAAGGTCCAGCAAACGAAGAAGGGCCGGACGACCCACCAGGCCTTCCTGAGCCGCAGTGTCCACCAGGCCGTGGCATCCCTGCGTAGTCACTCCCACGAAGAGCTCGCCCGCCATCGACTCGCCCGGCCTGTCGTTGAGGAACTGGCCGAAGGACAAGAAGGTGTTCGCTCCACCAGACCCGGCATCCATTCGGCCGGCCCAGTAGAAGGACCCTCGGCTTGCTCCCGGGCCCGACGATGACGAAGAGGTAGTCAGCGATGGCCCCGCTCGGTGCCTACACTCCTTGCTCCAATGCCCGACTTCTCCGCAAGCCCGGCATCGAGTCCTAAGCTTGAGCTGCTCTATGTGCACTCTTCGTGACGTAGGCGACCCCTTCCATGCCGAGCCGCCTTTGCCGAAGGACTTGCTGCTCTGCTTGCCGGTGTTCTTGCCGTCCTTGTTGAAGAGCTTCTTGCCCCCTTTCTTGCCAAGGTTCGGCTGGTAGTACTGCCGGCCCTTTTGCTGTTCTTTGAGCTGCTGCCGAACATGTTGGTACGACGCCAAAGCTTCCATGACATCGCCTTCCTCGTACACCGCGTCCAGCTCGCCGTCTTCTAGGTACACGTAGTTCTCGTCTTCTTCGTCTTCCGCCTCCAGGTAGAACTCGGGCTCGCCATAGTGCTCGTGGTTCTCGTAGTACACCTCCTGGCCTTCGCCCTCTTCAGTCTCCGTCCAGAGCATCGCCTTGGACCCGGAGCTGCTCGAGTTGATGCGGTCAAGTCGCCTTAGGTTGGCGATCACCACATCCTTGGTGTAGTCGCCAGCCAACCACGTGACCACACGGGACTCCAGCTCTTTGTCCAAGTTCGCCTGCCGGAACAGCAAGTATCCGGCAGCCTTCGCCGGAAGGTCCACGCCCTCGGCTTTGAGCTCCGCCAAGGCATGCGACGCGCGCACCAGGTAATCCGGGATGGACTCCTTGGCACCTCTAGCCTGGCCATAGAACACGCCCTCCATGGCCCTCGGCAACGCTGTCTCCACATACGGCTTAAAGTTGTCGTTGAGCACTTTCATCACCGTCTTGTAGCCGTCCGCATGCTGGAGCTCGGCCAGCGTCAAAGACGACACCGCCTCCCTTGCTGGCCCTGTGAGAGCTTGAACCAGCTTGATCGCCCTCTTCTCCTTGGGAATATCCGTCGTGGCCTCCCACAGCTCAAGATCTCGAAGCCAGGTCTTGAAAGAGACCTCTGGAGTGGAACCGTTCCAAGAAGGTGGGGGATCTCTATCTCGGTAGACATATCCTCCAGGATCGCCTGAGGACTGTCCTTCCGAAGTAGATGGCATCTTCACTCACTCGCTCTTGTAGATGTCGACGTGGCTGGGCTCGATCAGATACGTCACCACCTTCCCGCGGCTGATCGGTTAGAAGGCGAGGAGGGAAACAGCAGGCCCCTGGGACCGCCGGCTGCGACGCCACACACGCCGCCAAGAGCCACGCAGGCTCCGCTGCCAACTGACAGCGCCCACTTCGAATCTATGGCTCGGACTCAATTTTACGCACACTGCAAAGTCAGTAGCTTAAGGATCAAGAGGGCCCTCTGTGGGCCGAAAAGAAAGACCGCGGGTGATATGGCCAGGGAGGAAGCCTCCACTGATTTCACATATGTCTTGAAGATTCAGAGATTAGGGTCTCTTTGTTTCAAACGCAGGGAGCAGCTGATTTTATGGACTTGATGCATTCGAGACTTCTGGAGGCTTAGATTGGCTTACGGGAGTAGGGTGCAGGGTTTTTTGGGGTGTTCGATTGCCAACCTCGGAGTTGTTTGCAAAGAAAGGGGCGAAGGCTTCTGGGCAGAAAAACCGTTGCAAGGCCACTGGGCCTGCAAGGCAAGGCTTTTAAGGCCTAAACCCTAAACCCTAAACCCTAAACCCTAAACCCTAAACCCTAAACCCTAAACCCTAAACCCTAAACCCTAAACCCTAAACCCTAAACCCTAAACCCCTGAACTATGTAAGGCTGAGACTTTGTTGGCACAGGGTATTACGGTTTACGAGGCAATGAAGGGGTGTTAGAGTGTCACAGGGTTTGTTGAAAGTCTCACAGGGTTAAGACTCGTACCCCTAAAGTTGGAGCCCTGAAAGTTCCCCTTAGTCTACTCCAACTATGGCGCTTCTTTTACATTCAGGATCTTTAAAAGGGGTCCCCTAAACCCGAGGGTACAGCCTCAGGGCTCCAAGGCGCAACCCCTAGGATGTAGGGGTTGGACATCTAATACAGGGGCCTCGGAAAGTAGATTCGAGTGCTGGGAGTTATTATAGACTACTTATAGGGACCCCAACAAAACACCATATTCGACTCGGCTAGTCATTTTCTAGCCCTGAACCTTCAAGCAACCCTAAACCGAAACCCGAAACCTATACTGAACCCTATATACACCCTAAACTCTAAAGTAGGGCTTGGAAACGTACGCCCAGTCGGGTCTTTTGAGGGCCAAGGCTCGATGGTGTTGGTGACGCGATCTGGCATGCTCGCAAGGCCTCGAATCGCGGCTTTATGGATTTAGGGATTTAGGGATTTCGGGTTTAGGGTTTAGGGTTTGGGGATTTAGGGTTTAGGGTTTAAGATTTAGGGTTCAGGGTTTAGGGATTTAGGGTTTAGGGTTATAAAGTTTAGGAATTAGGATTGATTTAGGGTTTGGGGTTTAGAAAAGGGCAGATTCGTAACTCAGAGTACCCGTAGAAACAGCCCGTAGCCTCGACATAAGGGTAAACATGCAGTTGTTGGAGCAAGTTGAAGGTTTTTAAGGGTTTATGCTTATAGGTTCTGCTGCATGCTGGTATCCCTGACCCCTGAAACCCTCCCCAAAACCCTTAAATCAAACCTAAACCCTCAACCCTAAACCCAAAGCCCAGAGCGCGAAGCCCCGCAGACCCCTAAGTCCTAGATCCAAAATTAAGGACACCCCAAACCCCAAACCATGTGATGTATGAAGGGAAGCCAACCACATGAAAAGAGCCTAGATGAAAGTCCTGAGGTGGGTCAGCCCTACACCCAAGACCGAAACCTGGACCCCAGACCCTAAACCCAAACCCCCAAGGCTCCAAAGACTCTTATCGTAAGCTTTTCGGGCCCAGAGGCCTTATTATAACAGGATTTTTTGGTCTAAACCCAAAACCCTAAAACCCAAAACCACAACAGCTCTGAAGCGTCTGAGCTGCGCTTCTTGCCAATCGTGGCGTCCCGGAGGAACTGCGACACGATCCGCCGAGAGCCTCGGCACAGGTGGGGGGGGGGGGGGGTTTAGGGTTTAGGGTTTAGGGTTTAGGGTTTAGGGTTTAGGGTTTAGGGTTTAGGGCTTGGGGTTTAGGGTTTAGGGCTTGGGGTTTGGGGTTTGGGGTTTGGGGTTTAGGGTTGTCATTGTGAGGTTTTTGTAGGACTTTGGGGTCGGGCAGCTGGGAGCTGTGCAAGGTGCCCTAGAGGGTTTTGAAACCCTGGGAACCGTATCAGGGTTTAGGGTTAAGGTTTAGGGAAGAAGGTAATCATGAAACATCAGTTTCTCAGCATCAGGTTTCAACGCCCTCCCCAAATCCCTCCAGTCTACCTATGGTATCCTCGGTCCAGGGTTGCAGGTTGGTCGCTAAACCCTTGAAGGGTTTAGGGCTGAGGGTTCTGTAGGGATTTGGGCTTTGGGGTCTAGGATTTCACCCTGAACCCTAAACCCTAAACCCTAAACCCTAAACCCTAAACCCTAAACCCTAAACCCTAAACCCTAAACACCCTATAAACCTCAAGAACGAAAAGGCTGACGATCGTCTACGATCCCTCCCTAAACCTAAACCCTCTATGAGCCCTAAGCCCTAAACCCTGAACCCTAAACCCTAGCCCTAAACCCTACACCCTGAACCCTGAACCCTAAACCCTAAGCCCTAAGCCCTAAACCCTGAACCCTGGACCCTAACAAACTACGCACAGATCGCCGCGGAGAAGCGGTATTCCGGCCAGAGCTTCTCCACAGCATCCACCTCAAAGCGGTTCAGGGTTTAAGGCTTTAGAGTTCCCCCCACCCCAAACCCTAATCCCTAAACCTTAAGCCCTAAACCCAAGACGTGATACCGGGGCCTTGGGCCCTGAAAAAGAGGCAAATTCGGTTCAGGTTTCAGGTTTCTGGGATTCAGGGTTCCGGAGTTCGGGTTGGGGTCCGTTAGGGTTTTGGGTCAGCTATAGGGTTTAGGGTTTAGGCCTTAGGGTGTAGGGTTCGAGCTCCATATCACAGGAAGCACCCAAAAACCATGAAGAGCCCGAGCCCTGCCAGAAAGGATGCCTGAACTCCCCCTAGCCACCCCTGAATGCCCGCCAAAGAGCTTAAGAGAGAGGAGACGAGAGAGAAAGCAAGAACGAACGAAATAGATAAAGAAAGAAAGAACGAACGAAAGAAAGAAACAAAGGAAGAAAGAAAGACCCATGTCGTAGCTTTTTGGGGGGGGGTAGCAAACTAGAACCCCCTAGAACTAACGCCCAAAAGGATCTACAGAATGAGCCTTCAGGTAAACTCTTGATAGCTCAGACCCTCAAACCCTAAGGGTCCATGTACCTAAATAGTACATACTTTGGCAATACAGCGGTTGCCACATAATAGCTTTAATTCCCGGATATATCGTGTACAAGTACATGGACCCTAAGGGGAAGCTAATTACTCCTTAATCCCAATAAGGCCCCGGCGCCCCCCTAAACCCAAAAACTTAAACCCTAAACCTTAAACCTAAACCCTAAACCCTACACCCTAAACCGGAAACCCTAAACCCTAAACCCTAAACCCTACACCCTAAACCCTAAACCCTAAACCCTAAACCCTAAACCCTAAACCCTAAACCCTAAACCCTAAACCCTAAACCCTAAACCCTAAACCCTAAACCCTACCCTCGGCCTGCTCGAGCCCCGCTGCGCGCATCTGAGAGGTCAGGGTCTGGAACATGGACTCCTGGGCTTAGGGTTTAGGGTTTAGAGTTTAGGGTTTAGGGTTTAGGGTTTCCGGTTTAGGGGTTAGGGTTTAGGGTGTAGGGTTTAGGGTTTAGTAGGCTTCGACAAAGTATATAGATAAATATAAGTATATATATATATATGTATACTGGGGGTTTAGGGTTTAGGGCTACTAGACAACCCACAACTTTCAGTTGAGGTTTAGACTTCAGGTATTCGACCCAAGGATCCCCTAAACCCTAAACCCTAAACCCTAAACCCTAAACCCCAAACCCCAAACCCTAAACCCTCTGTGTTTGTGTGTGTGTCGCCCTTTGTGATCATAGCCACCTCCACATCGGAGCAGCCTCTCCTAGAATGCCGAGCGACCGTGAAGACCGAGTGGAGCGGCACGTCATCCTCACCTGGGGCCCCGAGCTTTTGCCAAACAGCTTCGGAAAGGTTGAGGATTGAGAGCCCTAAACCCTAAACCCCTAACCCCTAAACCCTAAACCCTAAACCCTAGGATGGAGGTTTTAGGGGCTTGAAAACTTTAGTCGGCCACTCCCTACGTCAGGCTGTTGGGGAAGAGGGGGGGGGGGGGTGTGTTGAGGTTGCACCGCCTGCCCAAAAAGGCTTGAATGAGGTTTAGGCAGAGGCCTCGAATCTTCTCGGGTCGCAGACACAAGCTCAAACCCAGAGCCCTCAACGGTTTAGGGTTTGGCTTTTAGGGTTCAGGGTTCAGGCTTTGGGGTTCTAAGCCCCAAAGCCGAACATTTCCATACCTTGAGCCAACACATAATGGACATTCATTGGGCTTACATCCGCGCGGGTTCTTGCTAATAAATCCTTTGTTTTGGTTTAGTGCTTCTTATAGGCAACCTTTCTCCTGCACCCCCGAAGTGCACGTACTAACAGACGTTCGGCAAAATGGCGGGTACACAGGCAAATATTCTGAGAAAAATCATATACTTTACAGGTCGGGGTGGGGGTTTTAGTTTTTTGGAATAGGGTTTAGGGCTTAGGGCTTAGGTTTAGGGAACAAGCCTAGACCGTACTACTAGAATCCCTATGAAGCCCAAGACCAAGTGAGTCTTCTTCAAACAAGGATATACCTCTCAAACACATGGCAGGTCGTTCTTGTATGAGCTGAACCCTGAACCCTAACCCTCTTGAAGATGTCTAATTCCACACCCCCAACCCTAAACCCCAAAGCCTAAACCCTAAACCCTAAACCCTAAACCCTAAACCCTAAACCCTAAACCCTAAACCAGCTTAAGAGGTATCCCTGAGCTTGGGATCCCGGCCAGGCTCCACGATGAACTTCTCAACCGACTCCATCAATGCTCGGTATTCGGCTGACGGGTGCGTGATCCAATACCTGGCA